GCCAGTTGCCACATAAATCATAAACAAACATATTCTGTTACCATAAGCAATATAGTATATAACATTTGCATATTGTCATTAACCAGTTTTTAAAACTTTTTTTTTCATTTATTTTTATTAGTTGGAGGCTAATTACTTTACAATATTGTAGTGGGTTTTGTCATACATAAAGAATTCATTTGAATCAGTTCTAATGAGATGGATGAAACTGGAGCCCATCATACAGAGTGAAGTAAGCCAGAAAGATAAAGAACATTACAGCATACTAACACATATATATGGAATTTAGAAAGATGGTAATGATAACCCTATATGCAAAACTTAAGTTTTTTTTTTTAAACAAGTTTTTATAAAAACTTTTAAGGATTTTTAAAAGTTTTAGGCATTACCTAGTTAAAGGTCAGAGAAGGCAAGTTAAAGGTAACATGTTGATAAATTCTAGTTTGATAATTTCCCATATAGATTGCTTGACCTTACAAAGCCCTCTTGGATGCCTGTAAGTTTATACTTTCATCTCATATTTGCACATTCCTGGAAAATTGGACATTTTCTTTTCAGGTTGCCTTGACAATCATAGATAATAAGATCCTTCTGTGTCTAGGTATAGAGACCTTCGAGACTTGAGTTATTTTAGTGTTGCCTTCATTTCAGATATAATCTTCAGTCACTCACTGGGCCATGTGATGTGAAAGAGCAAAAGGCTATGAAGTGGTTCAAAAGGACATGATCTGGTTCAGATTCCAGTTCTTCTGTTTAACAGCTGACCGTCCTCAGATCAGTGATGTGACCTCACTCAGTCTCAATTTCCTCATCTGTGAAATGGGGCCAGTGCTTCCTGTGAGCTTGTTGTGAGGATTAGAGATAATCAGCAATCAGGGTCCAGCACAGAGCTTGGTGCACAGATCTTACCCCCAGGAGCTGAGAGAAGCTGTGTGCATGTGTGCAAATGATGGAGCAGAATAAGACGGTCCTTCATGAGAGATGAGAGTTGTAAACAGAGCCTTAGGAACCCAGCAGGTAGAGATGAGTCCAGGATGGTTTCATGGGAGAGTGTGCTTGGGATGAGCCTGGGAGAATGGGCAGGATATTGACCGGCCATGAGAGGAGGTGCAATTCCACATGGAAGAAAAGCTGTGAAGGAAGCAGGGCTCCTGCTGCTTGACACTCAAGTCCAGCCCTCCTCTGCCAGGGCCTCACATCTGGCCCACATTTACCATTTCAGCAGTCTGCTCCGTGGTGTCTCTACTGTGAGCCTCCAACATCGCTGAAGGCCCTTGATGTGCTTCTGGATGGATGGCATCAAATCTGCTTTGCCATTTCCTAGTTTGCCTCTAGTGTGTGTGTCTGCTGTTCAGTGAGAACTGGGGAAACTTAACTTAAAGGTGTTCTTATTCACGTTATTTTCCTTTATGTCAGTAGGGGGAGTTGTAGTCTATACTCAAGTCAGGCTTTTCCCTTTAACCTAATTGGAAAATGGTGGCTAGGAATCTAGCCTGACTCAGATTTTGTTGCAAATCCTGTGAAATGATTTTCCCATTTGGGACTGGTCCATAAATAATGTTCAGAGTCAACAACGCAGTCGCAGTCTTGCTACCAGACTCAGAGAAAGCCTGTTTCTTGTGCCCTAAGTGTGCTAATTGAATGAGTGGATTTAGGTGCTTTTTCTAGAACATGGTTAAGGTTGCTGTGTTATGACGTGTTACTATTTTGTTAAGCAAAATGAAACAATGTAGAATCAAAGCATAAAAGCTAAGTGGAACAGTTTGCAAGGACTTCGACAGTGAAACAGAGGCGAATAACTGTATGTGTATATGTGTGTGTGTGTATGAATGTAGGGTTGGAAACCTGTTTAAAATGGCTCATTGCAATCCCACTTCTGGGCATACACACCGAGGAAACCAGATCTGAGAGAGACACGTGCACCCCAATGTTCATCGCAGCACTGTTTATAATAGCCAGGACATGGAAGCAACCCAGATGCCCATCTGCAGATGAATGGATAAGGAAGCTGTGGTACATATACACCATGGAATATTACTCAGCCATTAAAAAGAATTCATTTGAATCAGTTCTAATGAGATGGATGAAACTGGAGCCCATTATACAGAGTGAAGTAAGCCAGAAAGATAAAGACCATTACAGTATACTAACACATATATATGGAATTTAGAAAGAGGGTGACGATAACCCTATATGCAAAACAGAAAAAGAGACACAGATGTATAGAACAGACTTTTGGACTCTGTGGGAGAAGGCGAGGGTGGGATGTTTCAAGAGAACAGCATCGAAACGTGTATATTATCTAGGGTGAAACAGATCACCAGCCCAGGTTGGATGCATGAGACAAGTGCTCAGACCTGGTGCACTGGGAAGACCCAGAGGGATCAGGTGGAGAGGGAGGTGGGAGGAGGTATCGGGATGGGGAATACATGTAAATCCATGGCTGATTCATGTCAATGTATGACAGGAACCACTGCAATATTGTAAAGTAATTAGCCTCCAACTAATAAAAAAATAATAATAAAATAAAATGGCTCATTGTTGTTCATGAAAACCAAAGCAAGGGATGGTAATAACTTCTGAACTCAACAAAGAAGATGAAATAATGATGAATTTTCATGACAGATCAATTGCTGCCTTTCATTGGGTATAACCTAGTTAAGCTTTGAGTGAGCAGGGAACCTGTGTGTCTATGTGCCTGACAGGGAGGGTTATGATGGACACTCTTTCTTCTCTTTATGGTCATGTGCTTTGCATGTTATGACTCACACTGTGAATGTGGTCCCACTGTTGGTTTGATGGGAAAATAGGCATCAGACACCAGTAGCAAGTTACATTCAATTCTAGTCCTTTTTCCATTTATAGAGGGTGTTCTCACTTTTGAGTTTAGTGACTCTTGTTTTTGTAGCACATTCTGTAGAAGAGGGATGTGAGACTTAGGGAGATCAAAGGACTTGTTTATTATGCAAACTCCAATGTGCTACCTACTTTCTCCCCAAATTTGCTAAAGTAGGGACAGAGAGTGAGGGCATCATCTGCAGAAAGGTACTGCTGTGTATCTTAGGTTGATGCCTGAGGAGTTTAGTAGATAATTCAAAGATTTCTAATGTAATAATTGTGTAACTTAAACCTGATTGTTATCTTGTCATTTGGGGGATATTGTTATCATTTTTTAAAAAACTTTCCCCAGATACTCTGGGGAAAATAGACTGATTTGTCCATTTACTTCTTTTTTTTTTTTTTTTAACAGCTCAGCTTTTTATTGAATGTGTTACTAAGGAGGTTTAGTCAAAAAGACCAAAGCCCATGTCATCATCAGAGTCTTCAGATTCTTCTTTCTTTGCTTCTACTTTCTTCTCCTTAGCTCGGGCAGCAGTGGTGGCTGGGGCAGGACCTCCTGCTGGTGCAGCACCAGCTGCTGGGGCAGGTCCACCAGCCCCCACATTGCAGATGAGGCTCCCGATGTTGACATTGGCCAAAGCCTTTGCAAACAAACCTGGCCAGAAAGGCTCAACATTTACACCGGCTGCTTTAATGAGGGCATTGATCTTATCCTCCGTGACCATCACCTCATCGTCGTGCAGAATGAGGGCAGGGTAGATGCAAGCAAGCTCCGAGACGGAGGCCATGGTGCGGGCGAGTGTTAGGTGGGGGCTGCCGGGTGCGGTGCTAGTCGCTGGATGAAGTGAGGGCCTCACCCCAAAACGGCCTTAGCTTCCTCAGAAGAACTGAGCACCTTTGCGGCAGCAGAGGAAAGAGAAAGACCCATTTACTTCTTTTTTTTTTTTTTTTTTTTTATAATTTCCATTTTATTGTCTCTTCAGAGAAACCAATATTTCTTCAGTCTTTAAGGACTTGGATCCTTACATGGGCTTTGGTGGAGGACGTGGGGCAGCACCCGCAGGTCTAAATCGGGGTGGAGGAGTTCGGTCCTTCCGGGCTTCCCGAGAGCGATTCCTGACTACCTTGCTGTGAATGGCACAACTCACGCAGTAATGCAGTTTCACATACAGCTTGGGAAGCACATAGGCGTCGAAAACACTCGCTTCGGAAATGTCCCTGACGGCTGCGGCCTCTACGATGTTTCGAATGACGAACTTCTTAATGGCCTTATCCTTGGGCACGCATCGGGCACAGTTGGTGCAGCGAATAGGCTGCACGTGGCCGCGGCCCTTTTTGGCGCGACCGTTGTTCCTTCTTTTCTTGGTCATCTTGGAAGCGCGGAGGCGAGAGAGCCCATTTACTTCTTAAATAGTATTCAAATATAACTTATGGTAGATTCCCAGATCCTTAAGTCAAAGCTTCATGTCCTTCTTAACTTTGAGTTTTTCCTGCTTTCTCAGGCAAGCGTCTATTTAGTCCAGCTGATCTGCTTGGTGTACGTCGAGCACACTGTTTCTTTCCTTTTGGTTTTCCTGCCCAGCCTGCTCTTTCTGCTCCCATTTCTTGTACAGACCTTCTCTGTTACTCTATGACTTTTCTTAAGTATCACTGTGAAGACATTGGCGAGATGTTATCCCTTCTCTGAAAGTGAGAAGCAGAGCCCAAGATCAGGAAAACTGGTAACTTGAAATAAAATAAGTCCTGTGCCTTCACCTCCTGGGCCTCCAGCTCTCACACCTGTGTCTCTAGCACAGACCTTCACACCTGCATGTCCAGCTGCACCGTGACGTCACTGAGAGCTCATCTCAGCTTGTCCACAAGTGATGTCTCCTAAACCTGCCTCCACCATCTTCCCCAGCTCAGTAAATGCAGACCCTGTCCTTCCCTTTCCTCACCCCAGACACCACAGTCTCCTCTTCTCTTACATCCCACACCCATCCTGTCATCAGGTCTTACAGCTTTGCCTTCCAAATGTGTCTGGAGTGTGACCCTGTCTCTCCATTCCCACTGTTTTCTAGCTTATTCCAGTAATGTCCTCACTTGTATCTGCCTTTACCCTTCCCCACTTACTGCCTGTTTTCTGCAAAGCGCAGGAGTTTCCTTGTAAACCTCAGACCATGTCAGTCCTCCCTTCGCCCCCTCCCCCTCTTACTGGAGTGACCCCAGGCTCCTCCTGCTCTGTCTCAGCCCTCACTCCCCTCATTCTCACTCTGCTCTCCTGCCTCCTTGTCCTGAACCCCTTGGGCATCTCCCGTGGCCCCTCCACCCGCCCCTCCCTCTGTGAGGAGCAGTCTCTCCAGGTCTGCCTGAGCCGCTCCCTCCCCCAGATCTGCTCACAACGCTTTTAGCAGAACCCTCCCCACCCAGTGTGAACTCACTTCCCTCCTTCACTCTCCATTCCCCTGAGCTGGCTTCCTTTTCCTTCTTGTCCTCAGTCCTTGTGCTCAGGTTAATTTTCTCTATCACCCATCTCCAACCGTGGAAGGAAATTCTAAGAGCTTTGATTCCTCATGGCTGAATTCATTGTGCCCAGAACGGTGCCTGGTGTATAGTCACTCCTCAATAAATATGTGTTACAGTGGTACAGTGCATAAATGCTTTGGAAAAATGCAGAATGAAAACAACTGAAAAGCCCTGAGAGTTTAATTTTCCTGGTTACAGTTTAGTCACTGTGAAATAAGCACATTGCTGTTGATTAAACACTTGTATGAAGAACTGATGCTAAAAGGTTAGGATGGCAGGAGAACACATTTTAAATGTTTTTTCTTTTTTCCCTTTTCTATCTCCATACAGGATTTGCAGAATTTGAAGGAAAGAGATTTAACTGTGACAGGAGATGGAGGAACCCCGCTGAGTGAAGGACAGAAAGCCCGGGTCAGCCTCGCCAGGTAAATGGGGTTTCAGTTGCCATCCTGCCCCTCCTCCTCCGTGGCTCCTAGTGGACGTGAGCACACAGACCCTGCTCAGTGGGTGGGTCTGTGTGAAGCAGGGTCTTGGCCCTTTCCCTGGGCTTGTAGAAGGAACATGACTTTGTTGGACACCATTATGATTCAGAGATGAGACCCAGGGAATGTGAAGTGTCTTCTCCTAATGTCTCTCTGTTTTCTAGAGCCGTGTATCAGGATGCAGACATCTACCTCCTGGACGATCTGCTCAGCGCAGTGGATGCAGAAGTCAGCAGGCACTTGTTCGAACAGTGAGTTTGCATCTGTTTTATATCATTTCTTCTTTCCAGGAACCCTGTAGGGATCAGGGAAGGGAGCTCAGGAAAGCCTTTGTGCTCCAGGAGAAATACAGCAGGTGCTTCCAGTGTGTGGAGGAGAGTGGGGTCCATGCTTTAGGGAGTGAGGGATAGATGGCAGTTTCCCCCATGACTTGTAGTTGAGGGATCCAGACCCCAGGGATAAGAAGGGCAATGTAAAATTTTTAAATTAGAGAGTAGGACTTGGTAACCTGGTAACTGGATGCCAGTCCTTTTCCTCCATCATGTGTTGAAGGCACATTAGAAGTGAAGTTTTCAGTACTGACATAGGACTTCCGTGGAAAGACTATTGGTTTATGCTTATTAATTAATCTGTTGGTTTGGAAATACTTAATAAAGACTAGAATTTACAAATGATTTATTTCACATCTGAATATGATTCAATTATTTCACATTGCTTCATTGATTCTCACTAGAATTAATACTTAGACCTTCATGTAGGGTAACCTTGAATTTGAAACTCGGTATCAGGTTGAAGTCCTGACTCTCACTTTGTTTCTGAGCTTTTCTGTCAGTGGCTCTTTCTTGGTCACAGAACTCCTGAAGGAGAATGGCTCTGATGCTTTTCTGTCCTAATACATGCTGACTGAGGCCTCTGGTGGAATCTAGACTGGCCTCTTTGAAAGCCTCTTGAATTCGCTTTTTCTGAAGCAGCCTCACATCTACCCCACAGTTAGTTCCCTTGCTGTCATTCACCTTGTAAAGCCAACAAGCCTTCCAGCTGCACTTGTTAATGTCCTGTTGTATACACTGAGATCGATCCCCTTACAGATATTACTGCACAAAACCTCTCAGTTTACAAGGAGGATGGTGAGCCAGGAGAGGGGAAGGACCACACTGGGCTGAATAAGGGAGACTAGGATGCCCAGCTGTCATTCTTGCCTCTGAGGAACCTGTCTCTATGTGGAGCTTGTTAAGACAGATGCCTGGGAAAGCTCAGCAGAGTCAAGCTTTAGAGAGTTTCAATACAGGGTAGGAAATACTAAGTGGAAGTGGAAGTGTCAGCTGGAGGCTTTCACTGAAGTTGGAAAGCTCCCTGTGCCCGGGGGCTGGGCGGGCAGTGCCCTGGCTCCTGCAGGCTGGGCAGGTGTGTGCAGGCTGAGAAGAGGACCCAGTCCTTTGCTGAAGGAAGAGAAGAAGCTCAGGTGTGGAGGGAGGAGGAAGCAGGGCTGTGAGGAGGACAGCAGGCACATCCTCGCCTGGAGGAGGTGGGGTGTTCAGCAGAGAGAAGCCATTTGAGAATTTCACTGACAGGTCCTGTGTTAGTTTCTAGGACTGTGTCTATCCAGGCTGCTCTCACAGGAATCAGAGCTGGGTGGCTTAGAAATAGTGGAAGTTTATCTCTGTTGGTTCTGGAGGCTGAGAAAGTTCAAGTCAAGGTGCTGAGAGATTCAGCGTCTGGTGAGGGTCTGATTCCTGTGTCCTCATGTGGTGGAAGGGTGAGGGAGCCCTGTGGTTCCTTTTATCAGGACACTAATCCCTTTCATGGAGGCTCCACCCTCATGACCTGATCACCTCTTGATGGCCCCAGCTCCTAATGCCAACACAGTGGGGATTAGGTTTTAATGCATGAATTCTGAGGACAGAAACATTCACTTTACCAGGTTGTCACAGATGGAGGTGCTTAGAGAATAGAAATTAATTTTCTCATAGTTCTTGAGGCTGGAAGTTCAGGGTGTGGGCAGGTTTGGTTTCTGCTGAGAACACTCTCCTTGTCTACTGGTGGTATCCACCTTGCTGTGTCTTCACATGGTCTTCCCTCTGTCCTCGAGCACCCCTGTGTCTCTGTCCTTTTTATAAAAAAATATTTTATTGAAATATAGTTAATTTACAATATTATGTTAATTTCTTTGTACATCAAAATGACTCAGTTATACACAGATATACATTCTTTTTAATACTATTTTCCATTATGGTTTATCTCAAGATATTGAATATCCTGAATATAGTTTGCTGCACTATACCACAGGACCTTGTTGTCTGTCCATTATACACATAATAGTTTGCATCTGCTAACCCCAAATTCCCAGTCCATCCCTCCCCCACACCCCCTCCACCCGTGCAACCCCAAGTCTGTTCACGATGTCTGTGAGTCTGTTTCCGTTTTGTAGATAGGTTCATTTTTGCCATATTTTAGATTCCACATATAAGTGATACATGATATCTGCCTTTCCCTTTCTGACTTACTTCACTTAGTATGATAAAGTCTAGGTCCATCCACATTTCTGCAAATGGTATTCTTTCTTTCCTTTTTTATTTTTTATGGCTGAGTAGTATTGCATCGTCTATATGTACCACATCTTGCTTATCCATTCATTTGTCTATGGACATTTAGGTTATTTCCATGTTTCGGCTATTGTGAATAGTTTTGCTATGAACATAGGGGTGCATGTGTCTTTTTGATTTATACATTCCCCCAGATATATGCCCAGAAATGTGATTACTGGATTATAAGATAATTCTGTTTTTAGTTATCTGAGGAATCTCCATACTGTTTTCCATAATGCCTGCAACAACTGATAATCCCACCAGCAGTGTAGGAGGGTTCCCTTTACTCCATTCCCCCTCAGCCACTGTTATTTTAATGATGGCCATTCTGACAGGTGTGAGGTGATACCTGATTGTAGTTTTGATTTGCATTTCTCCAATAATTCACAATGGTGAGCTTCTTTTGGCCATCTGTATCTGTCCTTTGGAGAAATGTCTATTTAGTTCTTCTGCCTACTTTTCGATTGGATTTTTTGTTGTTGTTGAGTTGTATGAGCTGTTTGTATATTTTGGAAATTAGGCCCTTGTTGGTCACATTATTTGTAGTATTTTCTCCCATTCTATAGGTTGTCTCTTCATTGTGTTTATGGTTTCCTTTACTGTGCAAAAGCTTGCAAGTCTGATTAGGTCTTGTTTGTTTACTTTTTTAAATTAAAATTAATTATTTGTTTATGGCTGTGCTGGCTCTTTGTTGCTGTGGGGCTTTCTCTCTAGTTGTGATGAGCAGGGGCTTCTCTCTAGTTGCAGTGTGTGGGCTTCTCATTTCAGTGGCTCCTCTTGAGCAGAGCACCGTCTCTAGGGTGTGTGAACTCCGTAGTTGAGGCTCTTGGGTCCCAGAGCACACGCCCAGTATTTGTGGTCCATGGACTTATTTGCTACGTGGCATGTGGGACCCTCTAGGACCAGGGATCAAAACCATGTCTCCTGCATTGGCACATGGGTTCTTTACCAGTGAGCCACCAAGAAAGCCCTTTTTGTATATGTTTGCATACATTTCTATTGCCTTAGGAGATTGACCTAAGAAAATGTTGGTATAATTTATGTCAGAGAATGTTTGCCTCTAATCTCTTCTGGAGTTTTTTTTTTTTTTTTTTCTTCTGGAGTTTTATGGTATCATGTCTTATGATTAAGTCTTTAAGCCATTTTGAGTTTATTTTTGTGCATGGTGGGAGGATGTGTTCCAACTTCATTGGTTTGCAGTCCTGTGTCTCTGTCCTTGTGTCTTAGTCTCTGCCTCATCTAAGCACACCAGTCAGATTAGATTAGGTCCAGTATAATTAAGGGTAATGATTAACTCTTTAAAGTCCCTGTCACCAAATTCTAAAGTACTGAGGGTTAAAGTGTCAAGTGAATTTGAGGGGACATGACTGATTTATAGCAGGTCCAGAATAGCAAAGTGAAGAGACTTCAGCAGAGTCCAGTGTGTGATAGGGAGACGTGTAAGGAGCTCTGAGCTCTGGATCCGAGGAGCTGGGATTCCACGTCCACTAAGCAGGGGTCGTTAGTCTTTGGTGGAACCTGCCCATATGTAAAATGTGCTCAGTGTTGGGGTGATGAAAGAGTCGTGGAGATGGATGGCTGCACAACTATGTGAATGTACTTAATGCCACTGGGCTGTATGCTTAATATTGTTAAAATGGTAAATTTCATGTTATATATATTGTAACACTCATATAAATCTGCATAATAGCACTGAATCTTTGAGAACACGAGAGAACAGGGCAGATGACACATGGTATGGCCTCCAGTTCTCTGATCTGACCTCCAACCCTCTCCTGTTCATGACTTGATTAATTTTTCATTAGAGAAGTGCCTGTGTCTTGTCATGAGTTCAGTGACAGGAGCTCATGCTGTGACAGCGATTCCCTACCCCCACCCTCCTGGCATCGTGAGTATCTCAGCTTCTTTAATCCCAGGACTCTACCTTGAACTCACAAATGTGTGTCATCCCATCTTGTGAACATCTGCACAAGTTCCCCATTAGGGCAGGAACAGATCCTACTGGCTGTTACATCCATGTAACAGAGGAAGGCAATTGGTGTGAAGTACAGTGTGCTGGTCACAGAAGTTCTCCTGAGTTCTTTTTTGAACACAGGAGATATTTATAAAATCCTCTCAAATATTTTTGGTGTACCACTTTGGATATATACTTGAGAGAAGCAGGCTTAAGACAGTTGTTTGCTAATCAGAACCACATTCTCTAGGGTGATTTAAAGCAAAAGCAGAGAGCATGAATGCAATTTAGGAAATGACTTAGCAGCAACTGGAGAGTGTTCTCAAGTTAGAGAATTGGATGGAACAATATGCTGTGAGAGATGGTGGTCATGTGGAAGCTTGGTCATGTGAAGGGTTCTGTGTTAAAAGTGAATGAATCACACTTCTACTTATGATGAACAGATTCCTTCAGTCATGAAGGAAGGTCATTAAGATTTGTGAGTTTTACAATTTATGCTGTGAACACTAAATGGGTTCTGTCACCCACAGAAGGTGAGGGGCCTTAGGTGAACTGATGCCGTCTCACCTATGTCCAGCTGTGGATCCTCTCCTGATTCAGCCCCACATCCCAGACCCCCACCTCCAGCATTATCAAGTCTTCGGGCCTGTCCTGATCAGACTCCTGCGCTGCTGTCTACACAGCTCACCCTCCTGCTCCAGCCTTTCACAGATCCCTCTTCACATTCAGGAAGCAGCTCCAGGTCCTCAAACAGAGAACAGGCTTCCTCGCCATCTAACCCCCCTCAGCCTTTCCAGCTCCACCCCAACTCGGTATCCAGCTGTGCTGGCTCTGTGGGGGTCCTTTCTCACTCCGTCTGTCTGTGCACACTGGTCCCTCTGTCCCAGAGCCGGGGAGTAGTGCACAGGACCCAGAAGGAAGGTGGGCCCTGCCATTCCCTCCTGCTCCTCCAGGGGGCGCCCGTGCCCTCTGTCTTCCTACAGCCCTCAGAGGATGCCCTTGACCATTTATGAGTACCCCCACCTGCCCCCAAGCTGTGAATGCAGGAAGGCACCTCAGCCCAGCGTGTTCTATCCCAGGACCCCTGCACTTGCTGTGTCTTCTTTCAGGATGTTTCCCCAGACCGTCTCAGGGCTCCGGTGTCTCCCCAGAAAAGTGAAAGTCACTCAGTCTTGTCCGACTCTTTGTGATCTCAAGGACTATACAGTCAATGGAATTCTCCAGGGCAGAGTACTGAAGTGGGTGGCCTTTCCCTTCTCCAAGGGATCTTCCCAACCCAGGGATCGAATCCAGGTCTCTTGCATTGCAGGCTGATTCTTTAGCAGCTGAGCCACAGGGGAATCCCAGCAATACTGGAGTGGGTAGTCTATCCCTTCTCCAGCATATCTTTCCGACCCAGGAATTGAATTAGGGTCTCCTGCGTTGCAGGCGGATTCTTTACCAGCTGAGCTGTCAGGGACCAGCTCTTATATAGGATTATATGTGGGATTATAGCATTAACACAACCTTTATATAGGGGCTTCCCTGGCGGCTCAGATGGTAAGCGTCTGTCTGCAATGCGGGAGACCCAGGTTCGATACCTGGGTCGGGAAGATCCCCTGGAGAAGGAAATGGCAACCCATTCCAGTATCCTTGCCTGGAGAATCCCATGGACGGAGGAGCCTGGTAGGCTACAGTCCACAGGGTCGCAAAGAGTCGGACACGACTGAGCGACTTCACTTTTCACTTTCCTATATAGGAGTAACAGTTAAACGACTGGTTGCTGCTCAGTAATTTCTATGGCATGACTTGGAAATTTTTACTCTAAAAACTTGGAAAATAGTGTATTTTCCTAATGATATGGATAAAAGCATTATCTAGGAAAAATTCAACCCCATGAACTGCAGCACACCAGGCCTCCCTGTCCATCACCAACTCCCAGAGTCTACCCAAACCCATGTCCATTGAGTCGGTGATGCCATCCAGCCATCTCATCCTCTGTCATCCCCTTCTCCTCCTGCCCAGAATCCCTCCCAGCATCAGGGTCTTTTCAAATGAGTCAGCTCTTCGCATGAGGTGGCCAAAGTGTTGGAGTTTCAGCTTCAACATCAGTCCTTCCAATGAACAGCTGGGATTGATTTCCTTTAGGATGGACTGGTTGGATCTCCTTGCAGTCCAAGGGACTCTCAAGAGTCTTCTCCAACACCACAGTTCAAAAGCATCAATGTTTCAGTGCTTAGCTTTCCTCACAGTCCAACTCTCACATCCATACATGACCACTGGAAAAACCATAGCCTTGACTAGATGGACCTTTGTTGGCAAAGTAATGTCTCTGCTTTTTAATATGCTGTCTAGGTTGGTCATAAATTTCCTTCCAAGGAGTAAGTGTCTTTTAATTTCATGGCTGTAGTCACCATGATTTTGGAGCTCCCCAAAATGAAGTCAGCCACTGTTTTCCCATCTATTTACCATGAAGTGATGGGACCGGATGCCATGATTTTAGTTTTCTGAATGTTGAGCTTTAAGCCAACTTTTTCACTCTCCTCTTTCACTTTCATCAAGAGGTGGTTTAGTTCTTCTTCATTTTCTGCCGTAAGTGTGGTGTCATCTGCATATCTGAGGTTATTGATATTTCTCCCGGCAATCTTGATTCCAGCTTGTGCTTCATCCAGCCCAGCATTTCTCATGATGTAGTCTGCATATAAGTTAAACAAGCAGGGTGACAATATACAGCCTTGACGTACTCCTTTTCCTCTTTGGAACCGGTTTGTTGTTCCATGTCCAGTTCTAACTGTTGCTTCCTGACCTGCATACAGGTTTCTCAAGAGGCAGGTCAGGTGGTCTGGTATTCCCATCTCTTTCAGAATTTTCCACAGTTTATTGTTATCCACACAGTCAAAGGCTTTGGCATAGACAGAGTTAGGTTCAAATTTGCTGGGGGTATATGTAAGAACCTAGTCAGATTAATTGATTTATGTTTAATTTTTATTATTAATTTGGTATTTAAACTGAAGATTTTTGACTACTGTGTAGTCTTTGTCTTATTTTTTTTCAAAATATGTTTCCCGTTTGAAGCACCCCCATTAATGTGCATTTGCATACTGTGCCTTTTACATTTGTAGGTGTATTCGTCAGACCTTGAAGGAGAAAATCACAATCTTAGTAACTCATCAATTGCAGTACCTAGAAGAAACAAGTCAGATTCTGATACTGAAAGATGTAAGTAGTTTCTAGAAGTCTGGGGAATTGCTTTTCTCTCAGGTGTGTTGAAGGACAGACATCCCTGCAGGTCATTCTCCTTGGATTCATGGTAAACACCCCCTTCTCAGAGCAGGGGGTGTTCATGCCTTGGAGAATGAACCCAAAGACCTGTAACCCACCAGCTTCCTGTCCATGGGAATCTCCAGGCAACATTACTGGATGGGGTGGCCATGGCCTCCTCCAGGGGATCCTCCTGACTCAGGGATCAAACCTGAGTCTCTTACTATCGAATCCTGTCTCATTGGCAGTCAGGTTCTTTACCACTGGCACCAACTGGGAAGTCCAGAAATGTCACTACTACACTCTAAGCCACAGAAACCCTAAAGTATATAAAAGTGCAACTACAGTATTACTAAATCGTCACAGTTCGGATGAAATCTGTTAAGGATAATGATTCAATTTTATTTAGAAGTTTTTATTTTCCTCTTTCACAACGTAAGTCAAAATGTGTCACTTAGAAATTAGAGATACTGACATCTGATTGTATCTAAGTGATTGTTATACACAGTTTGCCTAAAGAGCATCTACCATTAACTCCAGAAGTGAGGTTGGGTAGCCAAGCATCCGGGTCAGAGACGTCCTCTCTGCTGGTGTCTCCAGTTGCAGGTCTCCCTGCCCAGGTCTCTATGTGTCTGATACGTGTGGGAGCCTGTGCAGCAGGAGGACAAGGCCCTGCCCTCATGGGGCTCCTGTTCTTATGGGGAGGATGTGACAGAGAGAGAGGTGGGCTGACATCCTGGCTGCCTCCCTGAGGAGCTGGTGCCTCACGGGGTCTGAGTGACATGAAGGTGGGGGCCACACAGTCACTTGAGGGAGGGGGTCTGAGGGAGGGGCTCCTCAGGAAGGAGCTGACCTGGCAGGTTGGAGGAACGGCAGGAAGACCAGCATGTCTGAGGAGAGTGAGCAGGGGGACATGGAGGGAGCTGGTCTCTGAGCAGTGGACAATGGGCGGTTGTGGGATGGAAGCCATCAGACGGTCCCGAGCAGAGGAGGGATGTGGTCTGATGTGGATTTGAAAGATTCCTCCGATGGTCCCTGGAGGGGTGACAGAAGAAGCAGTTAGGAATCTTAGTAAAGCTGAGGAGACAGAAGTGTGGGCTCAGGCTAGAGTATCAGTTTCTAGAGCTGCTGTAACCAAGTACTGCAAACTGGGTGACATTAAAACAGCAGAAGTTTATCTTCTCCCTGTTCTGGAGGCTACAAGTTCCAAATCCAGGTGCTGGCAGGGCTGTGCTCTCCTGAAGGCTCCAGGGGAGAATCCTTCCCTCCAGCCTCTGGTGTTCACGGGCCTTCCTTGTGTTCCTTGGCTTCCAGCTGCAGCACTGTGGTCTCTGCCTCTGATGTCACATGGCTGTTGTCCCCGTGTCAGTCTGGGTCTCATAAGGACATCAGTCATATTGGATGTAGGGTCACCCTACTCCAGGGTGACCTCATCTTAACATGATTACATCTGCAAAGATCCTGCTTCCAAATAAGGTCATGTTCATAGGTGTCATGTTTGAACTTATCTTTTTAAGGAGGGGGCACCATCCAACCCACAACTCCTAGCATGGTTGGGGGTGGGGTGGAGAGTAGTGAGAAGTGTTCAGACTTAGAGGTCATTTGATGCTTCAGTCCTTGGCTCGTTTGCCTCTGTCTCAGCACCTTTGTCATTAACCCCTGACTATTCCATAGGCCCTTGGTCAAATTCCTGACTTAAGAAATGAATTTCTGCTCTAAGAAAGATTATTAGAACGCAGAACCTCTGTCTCTCTGGAAGCAGTTCCATATGTTGACTCCTACCTGCTCCCCTAGGAATGGGAAGGGAGTGGTCGTTAAGGTTTTTTGAGCTTGAGAGCAGTTGATTTCATGTGCAGAGGGTATGATTCTAGTGTGTAAACCCCAGTGTTGACAGTGTTATGAACACAGGATCAGTGGGCAGGAGAATAACCTATTTCTTTTGTCCCTAGATGTTTTAGGGTCCCCTTATTACTTCCTTTGAGGACAATACCCCCAGTTTTACTAACAAAACAACTATTTGTCCACTGGTGAGCACCCTTGGATGAGTTGGGGTCCATCCATACTGTGGGGTCCCTCTCTCACGGCAGAGGGGGATGGCTGCCCCCTTGTCCCCTTGGATTTGTCAGAGCTTGGTTGCTGAGTGAAACTGCTGTCTTTGTACTACCAGTCATTTCATTGTGTATATTACAGATATCAAGTGGTGAGCACTAATTTCCATAAAAAGGTGTATGAATTTTGCCTCCCAAGTGGAACAAGACACGCTATATCCTACATAAGTTTCTAGTTCTGCAGTATCCAATGGTACCCAGATGCTTCACTGGGTTTCTCCCATTGGCTCACCTCAGGGGAAAGGGTGAGAGGGGTCCCAACTAGGGTCCTGAGTCATCTTCCGTCTGATCAGTGTTAACCAGAGCTGCTTGCATTTGATGAGTTTTGCATCCTGGAATTTTTTTCCTAATGTTTTGTTTGCCACTGAGTGATTCAGGTGTGTCTTTCTTAGGGGTCGGAAAATAGTGAAACATCTGCATATTATTTTATATGACTTTGTAAGGGAGGGAAACTGTGCAAGGATCTGTCACACATGTTTGAAGAACATGATTATATTGGCTGTAGCTTAAGCAGTTGCCTGTTTGGGGGAAGGCTGGTTGGCTGCTTGTAGTTGGTTGTTAAGTTTTTTTTCTCAGATCTGAGTACACTGATTCTGGCTTAGGTTTTGGTTTGTGGGCACAGACTGCCAAGGCTTTAGAGCTACCCCAGCCCCATGGTCTCCTTGTTTAATTACTTTATCAGATGGAATATTGAATTTTCAGTTGGGAACTTGCTGAGTGTGTGAGGACAGCTGTAGACCAAGGAGAAGCCTCTCATGGATTTTCTGTCCGGGGCTGGTTCCTATTATCCCAGCTGGGCACGTGATAGTATGACAGTGACAGTGGTCAGTGAAGATTTAATGAGTAATTCTTAGCTATATGCAGATGTGCTTGTGCCCACCTCTGGGTTAAGTTTAAATTTCTTTCCTGGAACATCCTCCCCAACTGACCATTTTTTAAAATTCTGCTTCTCATGTAATGTGCTGTATGCGCTTAGTTACTCAGTCATATCAGACCCCATGGACTGTAGCCTGCCGGGCTCCTTTGTCCATGGGATTTCCCAGGCAAGAACACTGGAGTAGGTTGCCATGCCCTCCTCTGGGGGATCTTCCTGACCCAGGGATTGAATCCAGGTCTCCCGCATTGCAGGCAGATTCTCTACTGTCTGAGCCACCAGAGAGGCTTCTCTCAATTCCCAGTTGTCTGTAGAGACTCTACTGATCCTCCCACCAGCCTCTGTGCTTCTTGCTTCCCCAAGTGCCCCTGGTACTTATGTCAGTGGCCTGCATTTTAAACACACAAGCACATGTTTCTTTCACATCCCCCAGCACCTAACACAGGGTCTGGCAGAGAACACAACGCTCAGTTCTGTACTGAGTTGATTGAACTAGATTTTTCAACAAGACTTCTTGACTCAGTGATCAATTTTTTTTTTTTTACAAAAATCATAATTTAAGGCCAGATAACTTTTCTTGACTAGTATTTAGGTTGTTTTAATATTACCAAATGTAAATTAATTCCTCTCAAATTTTTTTTTAATTTTAGGGCAAAACAGTGAAAAGGGGAACTTACTCTGAGTTCCTGAAATCTAGGGTAGATATTCTTTCGCTTTTTGACAAGGGGAATAAGCAGTCTGAACCATCTCCAGTTCCAGGAACTCCCACTCTGATCTCTGAGTCTTTGGGTCAGTCTCTACAGTCTCCTAGAACCTCGTTGAAAGATGCGGCTCCAGAAGACCAAGATGTGAGTTTCTATCCATCAGTGTGCCCTGGTCTTTCTGCTCTTGGTGGCCTCATGGACCTTCAGTCTGCTTCTCTAATGATATCTTCATTTTTCCCAAAGTAGACCCTAAAATTCCCAAAGTCTTATTCCATGGAATCCATGAAAAGCATGAAGGGAGTAAGCCTGTTTGTGGCTCTCCTTTGGGTGTAGTTGGAAAATCTTATGGAGGTCAGTAGTGGGTGCACTGCTGTGAATTTCTGGGTACCTGTGGCTCGCACTGATTGAGAACTCTCCAGTTTCCCATAGTTGTGTCCTACTTGCTCTCATGGCTCCCGACTTCCCTAATGCATCCAGAAGCTTAATGTGAAGACTGCCTTAGACTGAGTCCTGCTGTTGCCACAGTAAATCATCTACTTCTCCTGTATGTTGGAATGTTCTAGCACTGCATATGACTAACAGTAGTATTTTGCCTCCATGTCAGATGGTTTGTGATAGGTCAGAGGTAATGTGTGCAAAGGACCTGACACATGGTAGACACTTTGGTGTTAGTTCCCGTCCTCCTTTCTTACCCTTCAAGACCGAGAACCACATCTTATCAACCTTGGATCCCAGTGGCCAGGATAGAGTAGGACATTTTAGGCTCCTGTGACTCTATAATGCATTCTAAGTCCTCCAGACAGAAATGCAGAAATGCACTAGATCTCCATTAAAATACACAGATATTCTTTGATATCCAAACCCTCAATATCCAAATGCAGGAGCCTGTATGATTCTGATAATTACTCGGATTAGCAGTTCACTTTCTAGACTCAAGAATCACTCTGAAATTTCAGAACCAAATAGATTCAGATCATACATTTGCAATGTGCTATCCAAACTGATTACTCCAGCCCTCTCTGTGATCTCAGTTTACTGTATTTGGCTAGTATTTTGAGCCCAATGTGTTTTCTGTTTCTATTATTGAGTGACACAAGTCATCTAGAGGGATATATTAGCTCCATGTCATTTTGTGTGTTATTTTAGAGCAAACTTATGCATTTATACATTAATTGATTTTGTTGTGTGTGTGCTGAGAGTCATGATCTATTTTAAGCAAAGCTACCCACCAGTGAATAACCTCGTGCGAATGTTCTTTTATTTCTAATAGGTTCTTAGAAGTAGGATGACTTGGTCCAAGGGTAAATGCATATGTTTTGGCCAGATATTCCCACACCCTTCTCCATAGGAGATGGGCCATCCTGCATTCCTACCAGTGTATGTGATGTGTCTGTTTCCCCACAGTTTTGCAGTGGAGGACAGTGTTGAACTCTTGAAATTTAGGGTTCATTATTTAAAATTTCATCTCTGACTGCCATTTTTTCCTTCCAGACTGAGAACATACAGGTTATACTACCTCTAGAAGACCAATTGGAAGGAAAAGTGGAGTTTAAGACCTATGCAAATTACTTCACAGCTGGTGCTCACTGGTCTGTCATCATCTTCCTTATTCTAGTAAACATCGCAGCTCAGGTACGTAAGGGTGTTTGTTTTGATTTCTGTACCCAGGTTGATATTTACATACTATTTATACTGTACTTTATGATTATTTTTGTGTATTAAGAGATTTATTTCAAAGAATTGGCCCATGAGGTTGTGGGATCTAGCTTGGTGAATGTAAAATCAGAAAAGCAGGCCTGCAGGCTGGAACCTCAGGCAGGAGCTGACCCTGCTGTCTTGAGGCAGAATTTCTTCCTCCTCCAGGAAGCCTCAGGTTTTGCTCTTAGGGCCTCTGCCTAACTGGATGAGGCAACCAGAGTGTTGAGGGTGATCTCCTCCACTGAAGTTCTGATGATGAATGTGAAACACATCCACAAACTACCTTCATGGCAACATCTAGACAAGTGTTTGCTTGAATCATTGGAGACTGGCCCAGCCAAGCTGACACCAGAACTGACCATCACTGTACCTGTCAAGCTTTTTGTTTTGAAAAATCCCAACATTTGTACTGTTATTACTGCCTTTTGCAGTCCACTTGGATTTGCATTGAAATACATTATATTTGGGGAGCAAAGTCTTCTAGGGAAAAGAAGATTTCTTTTGAAGATATTAACTTGTAAGATGCCCTCCCCTGACCTGTGGTCATCTGGGGTGTGGAGCTTGGCGCAGACCTGAGCCAGAAGGACCGTCTCTGTTTTCTGGAGCCTTTCCACCCCCCATCCTGGTGAGTGGGTGTGAGGCTCAGTAACATCAGCGTCTGAGTGACTGTGTTTCCTGCTCCAGGTCGCCTACGCCCTGCAGGACTGGTGGCTTTTAAACTGGTGAGTGATTCCTGGTCTGACTGAAAGTGCTGTGAAGTCTATACGAAGCCTCACTTTTACAGAGTCAGGGGGATTGACCCTCACGTAGTTTCCCTGAAGAAAAGTGAAAGTTCCTGCGGGTGGTGTGTGATCCCCCTATGATCTCTCCCATGTCCCTCCCTTTAGTAGCTTATTCACAGAAAGTTTTTTTTTTCTTTTTTTGAACTTTTAATATTGTATTGGAGTATAGCCGATCAGCAATGTTGTGATAGTTTCAGGTGAACATCGAAGGGACTCAGTCATCATATATATGTATCCATTCTCCCCCAAACCCCACTCACATCCAGGCTGCCACATAACATTGGGCAGAATTCCATGTGCTCTACAATAAATCCTTGTTGGTTACCTGTTTTAAATATAGTGTGTGCATGACCATCCAAACTCTCTAATTATCCTTCCCCTCGGCAACTGTAAGTTCATTTTCTAAGTCTGTCTTCACAGACAATTTTGAAAACTGAAAGTTGTGATTCAGATTTTTAAAGGGAGATACACACAGGGTCTTGTGAGCTGGGAAACACTTTAGAGCATAAAATACCTTTCTTGAATTGAGGTAATTTTTTTTTATATTTATGTAAATTCTATGTATAATCTATAGTGTAATATTTTTTCTTCCCTGTTCCATAGGGCGAATGTAAAAAGTGGCCTGTATTTTGGGACAAATGTAGAAGAAGCCACAGATGTAATGTTTGTGCTGAACTGGTTCTTAGCAGTTTATTCAGGTAAAGTTGCGTCATCTGCTCCATTATAGCAGAGTCTAAGGTGTTTATAATGAGTCTGTGTGATAAACTAGAGCTTCTAGAGTAATTCAGCAATGTCTTAACAGATTGTCTTAGTCTCATTTACTCTGTGAATTAATTAGAATAATTATTTTAAAGATCTACTAGAAAAAAAGAGGTTGAATGAGGACTTTTAATTTGCTCTATACTGGATTTTGGTAGTTAAACCAGGATTGCACATTCAGAAAATCAGCCCCTAGAAATACATGGCTGTTGTTTATTAAATAGATTGCTTTAGCTAAATCATTTATCTATATGGATGGGTAAGGGGATTAGAAATGAATCCCCACCCTGTGGTTCTCATTGTTCCAATTCAGTCTAAATAACCCCTGGCTTTTATTGATCTTGGGTGAAATCCTCTGGCAGCATGGGTCCCAGATAAAAGCATTATTCCCTTGCAGATATGCAAAGCTCCCCTTTACTGCACTGCTCATCTCTTGGGCTTTACTAATTACCAGAGAAGCTAAGCAGGAGAAATCCAGGGTCTGGGATTAGATTCCTTCTCTTTCTTACCTTGAGATCACGGTGTTATCTCCTCCCCAACTGTGTGATTAAGTTAACATTTGGTGTGCCAGACTCATATTAGTGTGACTGTCTGTATTCACAAGAATGTTTAGAATATATATATCGCATTATGTACTTCTTAAAGGGTATTTTCACCTAACATTTTAAATATCTTCTTTATCTATTCATCTGTTGATGGACATTTAGGTTGCTTCCATGCTGTGGCCTTTGTAAATATTCCTGCTATGAATATTGGGGTACATGTGTCTTTTTGAATTATGATTTTCTCAGGGTATAGGCCCAGTTGTGAGATTGCTGGGTCATATAGTAGTTGTATTTTTAGTTTTCTAAGGAACCTCCATACTGTTCCCCATAGTGGCTGTATCAATTTGCATTCTTACCAACAGTGCAAGGGGGTTGCCTTTTGTCCACATTCTCTAGCATTTATTGTTTGTGTATTTTTTGATGATGGCCATTCTGACTGGTGTGAAGTAATACCTTATTGTAGTTTTGATCTACATTTCTCTAATAGTGATGGTGACCATCTTTTCGTGTGCCTCTTGGCCATCTGTATGTCTTCTTTGAAGAAATGTCTATTTAGGTCTTATGCTCATTTTTAAATATTTTTTTTCTGATATTGAGCTGCATGAGCTGCTTGTATATTGTGGAGGCTAATCCCTGTCAGTTGCTTAGTCTGCAGTTATTTTCTCCCATTCTCAGGACTGTTTTTTCATTTCATTTCATTTATGGTACATATATACACTGGAATACTACTCATCCATAGAAAGTAATGAAATTGGGTCATTTGTAGAGACATGGATGGACCTAGAGTCTACCATATGGGGTAAAGTAAGTCAAAAGAGCAAAACAAACAAAATGCTTATATTAATGGATATATATGGAATCTAGAAAAACGGTACAGATAAACCTATTTACAGGGCAGGAATGGAGTAGAGATGTAGAGAACAGATGTGTGGACCTGGCGAGGGGTGGGGAGGTGGGGAAGATGAACTGGGAGATTAGGACTGACACATACACACTACCATGTGGGAAACAGACAGCTCGTGGGAAGCTGCTGTATAGCACAGGGGGCTCAGCTCAGTGCTCTGCGACGACCTAGAGGGGAGGGATGGGGGGAAGGGAGGTCCAAGAGGGAGGGGATCTGTGTATACATATAGCCGGTTAACTTCATTGTACAGCAGAAACTAACACAACAGTGTGAAACAACTATACCCGAATAAAATTAAGAAAAACTAAATAAAAATTTAAATATCCCCACAGAAATTGCTTTTCAAAGTTTACTTGTACAAATGCTTGTACAAAGATTAACAAAACATGTGTTATGTAAAAATCCACTCATTGAAATTTGACATTTATTTTGTTGTTTACTTGTTAAGAAACTTGAACCCACCAGCAGTTTACCTTCTGAATTGGTGGACAATGAGCGCTTAGAGGAGAAGGAAGGGATTCTGTTACACATCTATATAGGACGGTGGGCTAAGCCAAATGCCTATTAATGGAATTCAGGAATTTGAGCAGCTTTCAGAATTTAAATAATACTGGTCAGCTGAATGGAAAAAAGTGCTTGATGGAATATTTATTACAGAAGTTACCCCAACTCTATTTAGCATTGTGAGTTGAAGAGATGTTTAGAGGCTCTTTTAATTTTTATATGCATAGTAGTGTTCATTTATGTTATTGATAAAACATAAATTTGCATGATTATATTTGTTTACAAATGCTTTGGGATTCTATCAAACACTTAGAGATTAATTGCTTGTTTAGATTAATTATCTCATGCCAGAATACAATTTGTAGTTTCTTACAATTCAATTATTTAAGAGATTGTCCACTTGCAATTTAACATGGTCTTTTTATACTATTTAAAGTTACTTGGGCCTAGAAGTAGCTACTTTATTTTTAATATTTTAAAATTTTATTAATTTTTATTTCAGTATACTTGCTCTCCAATATTGTGTTAGTTTCTGTGGTACAGAAAAGTGAACCAATGATACAATATCCTCTTTGGATTTCCCTCCCATTTAGGTCACCACAGAGCATTGAGTAGTTTCCTGTGCTATACAGTAGGTTCTTAAGAAGCTACTTTACATGGAAGTAAATTTCCTTGTAAATTACAGGGAAATGGTAAATCATTTCTCCTATTCCCTGTTAATTCACATGCTGGTACCAAAGCATACCTCACTTTTAGATTGTGGGACATGTTGTAAATAGTGAAATTTGAAATGTGGAGAGAAAAAGATCAACTACTTTTTGCAATTATCAATCTTGTGAGTTTTTATTAGAACTTGTAATTGAATTAGGAAAGCCTAGAATGAAACTGTAGGTAACGTGATATTTTTACCCCTGTGTTGTTTCTATTTAATGAGAGGAAAACATTGATTTTTATATTCTTCTTTATAAATGTATTTTGTGAAAGCATTAAACTCTTACAGAATTTACTATATATATATTTACATATATAAAATTTTATTATTCTATGTGTATGTAAATTTCTATGTAAATTTTACCTATAGAATAAAATGTATTGTATCTTTATAAACTGCCTACTATGCTTCAGCATCGTTCAGGATAAGACAGAGATCTTGTGCTGAGTGATGTTTCTTTATTTCAGGGTTAACTGTATCTACCATCCTTTTTGGCATCACAAGGTCTCTGCTGATATTCTACGTCCTTGCTAATTCTTCACAAACTTTGCACAACAAAATGTTGGAGAGCATTTTGAGAGCTCCAGTATTGTTCTTCAGTAGAAATCCAATAGGTAAGTCAGACATGAAGCTTCTCAGTGAATATGTCTTATTAACACATTTAGTGCCTGATTACATTTTCATATTTGAAAATGGAAATGGAAGATATGCTTGGAAGAAAATCACTGTCCATGTTTTTTCATTTTCTACAAAAAACTTCACTGATAATTTTTATTGGTAGGAAAAAAATCTGAATATGTGCATATCTGTAAAAAAAATTAACGTTTACTTTGCAGGATGATTTAGGAATCCATTTGTTATATATACCCAATATACAATGCAAATATGTTGAAATGCTTATGACTAGTTGTTGGAACATTGGCCATGTTACATGGTGTTAAGCTAACTAGGAAGGACCTTCTTCCAGAAACATCTCTGCAGGAGACAGGCTGTGTGTTTCTTTCTTTCACTGTCCATCCATTTCTGGGACCACAGAACTCTGGATGTGCTCATATTTTGAGGTTTACCTGAATTGCAATGGAAAATTAATTTAAATGCAAGATCAGTGAAAGGTAAACATCCTCTTCAATCAAATCAACCCTCTAGTTTTACAGTGGAATTTTGGTTACATTTAAGAGGTCTTGTGGTACATAGCAGGTGGATCTTCATTACTAGGTAAGGGTGTCCCTGAAGGTTTCCCAATGGTTGCTTACGCCATTCTGAGGCCTTTGACCTGTCTTGCTTTGGAAGGTAGTCTCCTGACCTGGGTTTCTATGAACAGTTAGTTCATCAGCATATATGTCCACTCTGTTCAGTTGGTTAGACTTGTGTTGAGGCCCAGGGCAGCTTTGTTTTTGCAGGTCATGATTGACAGGACCTGTCAAGGCAGGGATGTGACTGGAGAGAGGACAGGAGTTGCCTGGTCATCAACTAGCTTTGTGATCAAGGTCAAAGTAAGTGGATGCTACGGGGCAGGCAAATCTCTAGGCAGGATTTTGTCATGGTTATATGTATGGACTCTTGAGCCAACTTCCTGGGTTCAGTCCTGGTGCTAGTTACTAATAGTAATAGCCAGTTATATTTATGTTAATAGTTACATGCAAGTTATTTAATTTCTCTGTGTCTCGATTTTCTTACCTATAAAATGAGGATATTATTCACACACTTACCAATATCTTGATTTTGTGGGCATTAAACAGGTTAATGTACTCACAGCATTTAGCACACGGGCAGTACCTAATGAACCTTAGTGAGGATAATGACATAGTGTCTGGGAACTTCCTCTCCTGTGAAATGGGAATAACTGCTGCCCTTCCTGTTTGACAAGGCTGTTGTGAGAGGATTAAATAAGACTGTTTAGGGCAGCATCTTGTGCAGATTTATTCAACACATGTTGTTTAGTCCAGGCATTGTGTGAAGCACAGGATGGTAAGGTGCAGAGGCTCACACAGATGTCATCATATTATGAAGCCATAGCAAGGAAGTGATTGGGGGAGTCCATGCTATTGTGGCTGTGAAGCTGCTCTACTTTGCCTGTTAATGTGAAAGCTACGGTTATAAATTTGGGAGCATCAAGTGGGACTGAATTTCTGTTATCACAGCCTCTGAGTGCTCCTGACCACAGTTCAACAGGCTGATGATGACCTGTAGGATTCTCCAGATGCTGATATATTTATTATTCAAGGATTTGGAACCAAGTTTAAATCTTCAAGGTCACTAATCCTAGAGCAGCAGGCATACCAGTGTATATATTATTTCCCCATCCTGTGTCTATTATCAGAACTTCATTCCTTCGAGAAATAGAAGCCCAATTAAGTGCTGCAAAGATACGCCCAAAGGTTTCAGGGCATCACTTATTTACTCTTTTGGTGGCACATTAAGTTGGACTTTTCCCTGTGTTTATTTTCAAAAGTAGAATTTGTAATAGACTGTTTATGGTGTCTTTGTTTCTGGTATGTGATGGCATGGAGAGAGAACCACATGGACTGGTGTTACTTGTTACCAAGTTCAAGCTCACTCTGCTCACCTTACAATGCCAGTAAATCTTAGAGCTGATGTGTTAAAGCAAGAAATAGTGACTTTATTTGGAAACCTGGCGGACTAATGTCTCAAAATAACCATCTTATTTTTGTCTGGATGCCAGGTTCTTTTATAGAACACAGAGGAGAGGAGGCAAGGAAGTAAAGCCGTTTACCTTGCAAAATTGGAGGGGATTTGTTAATTTTTTCTTTTCTGCAGCCATTCACAGGTGGTGAGGGTCAGATTGTCCCCCTGTGAGCTGAAAAAAGCCACTTTAGTTTACCTTTGAGGCAGAGGGGCAGGGTTCCCTGACAAAAGCAGTGAATAGCAATGGTCAAAGAAATAGATCCAGCATGGAGTCAGTATTGGCTCCTCCTTGTTGCAGTTCCTTTGATGTGCACCTCCCTGGTCTGGGGTCAGTACCCTCTGCTTTCTCATCTTGTGTCTCCTCAGGGTGCACCACCCTTGCAGGCGTGGCTGCAGAGTCCCCATGGCCGCAGAATCCTTTGTTTACTGATGTGGCAAGTGGTGTTTTAAGTTCACATTAGACACACTAGATACTTAATAGAAATTGGTTCTCACATTCTAATCCTGCATCCTTTATATAGATTGTTGTGGATATACTATTGTTGTGGATTCTGAAAAGGGAAATAAAATTTATGTTGATTTAAAGACTATCACTTGGGAAAACTAATCTTGATAACTAAAGCAAAGTTAGTGTAACATTCGGATTAATTTAGGTATTTTGCAACTGTTTTACCAACTTAGCACTTGGAATGAGTCTTAAATGGGATGGATCTAAAGGGAGGGAACATTATGAAATCCACCAACCCTTCTTGATACTGCCACAAGATTCCCCTGTTCTTTTAAAAATCAGGGCTCAGTTTCAACTCCGCACCCACTGCCATTTGGTGGTAGTTTTGTTTCTCTTTAGGTTTTTCTTTTCTTTTTTTTTTTTTTCTGTTTTCTCTTTTTTTCTGTTTTTCCTGTTTTCTCTTTCTTTTTACACAGACATCAGCTTATTTCATTTGAATTTGTAATATATTAAATTTGCTGTTTAATTCTTAAATCATGTCCAGCTCTTTTGTGGTCCCATGGACTGTAGCCCACCAGGCTCTTCTGTTCATGGAATTTCCTAGGCAAAAATACTGGAGCAGGTTGCCATTTCCTTCTCCAGGGGATCTTAACAACCCAGGGATTGAGCTTCCATCTCTTTTGTCTCCTGCATTGGCAGGTGGATTCTTCACCACTGAGCCACTAGGGAAGTCCAATACATTAAATGTTTAATAGATGTCTTTTAATAGACATCTTTATTTTTTTTAAAGATTTATTTATTTATTCATTTCTAGTTGCATTGCATCTTTGTTGCTGCACATGGACTTTCTCTGCTTACAGCAAGCAGGGCTGCTCTTCATTGTAGTGCTCCCGCTTCTCATTGCAGTGGCTTCTCTCGTGGAGCTCAGACTCTAGGCACAGGGGCTTCAGTAGTTGTGCCACACAGGCTTAGTTGCTCTGCGGCATGTGGGATCTTCCTGGACCAGGGATTGGACCTATGTCCTCTGCTCTGGGACACTGTACCACCAAGAAAGTCCCTAAATACATATAAATATATGTATTATTAACACTATTAAAAATAGTGTTTTGATTTGTTTGTGAATTGTTTCCTATCTGAGGAAATGAGTAATTTCTCATATCCTGTTCTTGTAGAAGAATTTTATTTTATTTTACTTTTTTAGGAAGAATTTTAAATCGTTTCTCCAAAGACATTGGGCATATGGATGACTTGCTGCCCCAGATATTTCAAGATTTCATCCAGGTAATGTACCAATTCTGTCGAGTTCTCAGAGAGAATAGCAGAGTGCCTATTTCTCAAGGCCATTTCAGAGGGGCTGAGGGTGGGCCTTTCAGCCTGGTGATGTGTCCTGTTATCTTCTGTAAGGTCGTGCTTGTGAGAGAGACGTGCAGCTGTGATTGGGAGGCTGAGTTAAGTCGAGTAACTCCTGGGGCAGCAGTGGCTACACAGTCATGTCAAGGTTGGTCTGAAGCAGCGACATGCTGGGCAAGTGGGTCTCCCTCTGCTTTCCAGGTGTCTCACTAGATTCCCTTTACTGTGAGCACATTTCATAATACAGAAATAACTACTTCTCATGGAAAGATAGCCTAGATTAACTAAATTATGCATTGTGTCAGGCTTCCCAGGTGGTTCAGTGGTGAAGAATTTGCTTGCCAGTGCAGGAAATGCAAGAGATGTGAGTTCCATCCTGGGACAGGAAGATTCCCTAGAGGAGGAAAGAGCAACCCACTCCACTATTCTTGCATGGAGAATTCCATGGACAGAAGAAGCTGGTGGGCTACAGTTCATGGGGTCACAAAAAGTTGGACATGACTGAGCACGAGCTGATACATTGTTATTACGACAGAGGACAAATACTGCACTATTTTATTTGCATAAAGCCAGGTGTGGTTACTTACAAAGAGAAAAGGGGTAAAAATAAGGTGAAATAACATACTTTAGCAAGGACAATGTTGTTGTTGTTTAGTTACTAAGTTGTGTCCAACTATTTTGTGACCCCATGGACCATAGCCCGCCAGGCTCCTCCATCCATGGGATTTTTCAGGCAAGAATGCTCGAGTAGGTTGCCATTTCCTTGCCCAGGAGATTTTCCTGACCCAGGAATCAAACCCACATTTCCTGCACTGGCAGGTAGATTCTTTACCACTGAGCCACCTGGGAAGTCCAGCAAGTACAATAGAGAGCAGTTATTGAAGATATGAAGCCTTTAAGCCAGTAATTCAATTCCACGATCAAAGCCATCTCATAAAATGTCTTTTGTTTTTGTAAGCAGTTTTTCTTTTAACAAGTTGATTGCTCTGTCTTAAGGGGTCTTAAAAGAAAAAGAGAGAGGGAGAGAGACCTACAGGGATACTGTCTATCTAGCCTTTGTTTTGTCTGCGAATTTGAGGTTCTAAAGAATGATGTTGGGTCATCTCAGCTCTTATTTCTTTGTTTAGTACTGTTGCTCATGTGGAGTGTTTTTTTCTGTTATTTAATATTGTCAACTTTTTAGTGATTAAATCTGTGGGGGATTTTCATTTTCTTTCCAATTGTTAATTTCAGAAGTGAAATGCATTATCAAAAGCTGAGCACAGAAATGCAGCAGTCAATATCTGACTGCAGACAGTGTAGCCTGTGGGCATGGCTTTCACTGTTACCAGTGTGAATTAAGCTGAGAGTCAGAGGCAGAGTGCTTTTACTGCAGAGATGTCTGTTTGTTCTTTTTTTTTCTCTTCCGCAAACTTATTTTATTTTATTTTTTATTTATTTTTTCATTTATTTTTATTAGTTGGAGGCTAATTACTTTATAATATTGTAGTGGGTTTTGTCATACATTGAAATGAATCAGCCATGGATTTACATGTATTCCCCATCCCAATCCCCCCTCCCACCTCCCTTTCTACCCAATCCCTCTGAGTCTTCCCAGTGCACCAGGCCTGAGCACTTGTCTCATGCATCCACCCTGGGCTGGTGATCTGTTTCACCCTAGATAATATACATGTTTCGATGATGTTCTCTCAAAACATCCCACCCTTGCCTTCTCCCACAGAGTCCAAAAGTCTGTTCTGTACATCTGTGTCTCTTTTTCTGTTTTGCATATAGGGTTATCATTA